GACTGGGAAAAAGCTAAAACTAGATGTTCATCGTAGCAGCGAGACTTGTCATGGCAAACTTTCGAAGTCATTGTTTAAAGAAATATGGTTTAGATTCCACCTGAGAAGAGTTTAAATTGGATGAATTGTTCTTTTTTTACGACGTATGAGAAACTATAGCATGATTTAATTCTAAAATTATTAATATTTTAGTATTAAAAAAATATAAATTATATCTTAAGTCTTATCTAACCACTTACTGCTTAAGTTTTTAAATGAGATAGATCTTTATATCAAAATGTTGATAATTAAATGATTTCGTGTTATTTTTATTTATTTGATAAAAAAATTAAACATAAGATAATATAAATTTATATAAGTTTTAAATTCAAAAAAATTATATTAAAAAATAATATAAATTATATTTTAAAACTCTACCTAATAATCTAAATTTTTAAATAAGTTATTCTTTTACGTTTAAAAATGTTAAGCAGTCAGTCGCTAGTGATGGAACCCTGCTCGTCCAATGCACACTCGTGCACCGAGTAATCACCTAATATAGTTATAAAAAATACTTACAAAATTCCAAGGGTTAGCTCAACTATTCAAGTAAAAAAGAAAAATTAGAAGCCCTTTCAAGGCCGTATTATTGGTACGGTAAGTCAACTCTTTTTTTTAAAAAAAAAAAAGAAAAGCTCTTAAAATCGTGATGTTTCGAGAGGAAAAAAAAAATTAAATGATGTTATTTATAAAAAATGGGTTTTTCATTAAACCGGCCAAGGCAAGATTCCAAGCGATTTTTTTTTCCAGAGTAGAAAAAATGGTATTTGTTGCTGGGTGCATTGGAATTGTTTTTTCTTTCTTATCTATTGATTATTAAAAGATTATTTGGGAGCTTCTATATATATTTTTTCACAGTAAAAATATAATTTTATTTTTGAAATTAATAAAACTTTGAGCAAATAAACAAAAAATATTTTTATTTTATATAAATTTTTAAACAATAAAAATATTTATTTAGCTTTAGAATTAAAAAAATATCGGGTTGTGGGACAAAGGGTTTTGTTTTATTTTTCATAAACAATAAAGATATGAATTTGACCTTTAAAAGAAAAAAACTAGGTTTTCATTCCAAGGTATTTTTGTATTTTCAAACAAGTTTTTTAAGTAATTATCAGGATCATGTAGGTATTTTTATATTTTTATGTTGATTTTTTAATTTTTTTAATTAGAAAAATTGTTGTTACGTATTAGATACACATAATTTAGATAATGTATTCAACACCACTCGATAGCCTAATATCACCTTTTGTTGTCTCTTTAAATATGTCACTATATTTTTTTTTACATGGTATTACATGTGATAATATATGACGGTTGGATTATCGCCGATGGCTATTTTTGTTTTCTTCTTTTCTCTTTCCTACAAGATAAAGTCTATGATTATCTTTTTTGTATTTTGTTTATCAATTTTAGCCCTTTTTTCTTTGATTTTTTATTCCTTTTATGAAAAAAAAAAAAATTAACTTAGTCATTCAATTACAATTTCTTATATATTTTATTTTTCATTTCAGTCATTATCCCTTTGTTTTTAATTTGTTCTTTTGATCTTTTTATTATTTTTTTTCCTTTCAATTTCATCATTCAATCAAAGTTTATGTTGTTTTATTTTTTTATATAATTTCACTCTCACTCTTTTATTTTTTTATTTTTTTAAGGCTATTTTTCAATTCCATTGAACCCTCAAATTGAAATTTTTGTTTGCCCTCTAGTTATTATTTTTTTATTTTCACTCTTATTTTTTTTAGATTATTTTATGTGATTGATTTTTTGTTCTAATTTCATCTTCCAATATTTGATTTGTTGAGAATTTGATTTCCTAAGATCTTATCATCCTGCATTAGTTTTTTTTTAAACATTAGTTTTATGATTATCTTCAATTTCTTTTCTATAGATTTATTCTGAATTCATGACTTAAGGTCACGGGTTTTGCATATTTTTTTAATATAATTTTTTTTAAATGTTTGTGTTTGATTTTTCAAGATAGTATTATAATTCATCTATAATTTTATATTTATAAATACACGCAAATGAACATTATTTAAAAAAAATATTCATTTTTAAATAATTTTTATGGTATGTTTAGCCATATGTAAAATATTTTTTGGGTGTGAGTTTATTCAATTAGTTTCATTTATTTTTATTTTTTAGACCATAAGTTTTTTGGGTATTGAGTATTATCGTGTTTATTTATTGTTAAACAAAGTTAATCAATGAAAAATACATTCTAGATAAATAAAAAACTTGACTTGGTTTTTTTATAAATATTTTTCTTTTATTTTTAGCGAAATACGTTGTTTAGAAGTTGCAAAGCATTCAAAAATATTATGATATTTACTGACTATATCAAATTTGATCTTTAATTTTTTAATTGTTATATATCTTATCTGGCCATCATTCTTTTTATTGTTATTTTCTCAATTAAAATTTTTTTACCTATCGAATTTGTTTTTTATTTTTTTAATTTCTATTTATTTTATTTAAGATAAATTATAGTTTTTTTTAATTTCAGCCTCCAATTTTTTTATCTACTAGTTTTGATCTTTATTATCTTGTTAAATTTAAAAATTAAAACATTATTAAGTTATTTTCAATTTATTTATGGCATAATAAAATACCAAAAAATATTTTTTATTTATTTTTATAATATTATCAAATATCAAATAATAATTTATTTTATATATAGATAAAGAATTGGAGCTATATACTTCTTTCTTCATGGAAAAGAATCCATAGAAGTTGTGCACCATCTCTCTATTGAGCCAGCTATTTGTCATCCTCGTAGTTCTATTGTTCAGGATACTCAGGGTCTTGTTTAATGGCTGCCATGTCAAATTCTTGCACTCTATTGGGATAATTTTAGATGGTAACTATTTTTCCAACTCGTCACTTCTGATCATCATTGTCATCGAGAGCAGTTAATTATTAATTTCTAACAATAATCACCATCGACGTGCATTGGAGGAAAAATTAAATAAAATTAAATAAAATTTAATGGAAAAATATCAAATTCAAAACAACTTATTCTTTCGAAATTGTGAAACCATTAAATTGCAAAATAGTACATGTCACTTGTCACGAGCGTGCCATAAGCCCAATTGAGAAAAAAAAAAGAAAAAGGTACAATTTAATTAGATAATAAGAGAATATATAATAACTACACTAAAGTGACCAACGTAAACAAAAAATTAAACATGAAAACCAAAACTAGAACGGTTGCTAGAACAAAGCTAAAGTTCTAGCAAATCAAATGTGAAAAAAGAAATTATAAAAATAATAATAATAATGTGAGCCAATATGAGCAATTATGCTAAAAATACAAGACATATTATGAAATTAAGAGAAAAAAATTCTAATTTTAAATAAATTCAATGCAAAATAATAAAATTAAAAAATTTAATTAAAAAATCTAGTAAACCAAGCAAGTTAATCAAATTCTACAATTTATATCATGCAAATAAAATAATCTAATAAAACATAAATCAAAAGGTATGATGAAGCTAAATTAAAAAATAATCTAATATTAAAAAATAAAATTAAAAAAAAATAATTTTTAAAAACACTTCAACTTAAATCAATTCATAAAACCTGTGGTCTAATTGAGTTTTTTTATAGTTTTTTAAGGGTTAAATCTATTATTCAAATAATTTTGATTATAAAAAAACATTATTTTATTGAGTAACCTCTGTTAACAATATTTTAAACTAGTCAAGTCTTTTTACTGTTTTTGTAGGGTCACATCCATTATTCAACGAATTTTGTTTAAAAAAAACATAATTGCATTCAACAGAAAATAAAAATACAAACCATAATAAAAAATATAAGAAATTAATTTTTCAGTAGTCATGGGACTTTCACATACAACAATTCCTTTATAAAAAAACATGTAAAAACAAATGAAAAGAATTCAAATAAAACATAATTTGAAAAATAAACAAGTCTAAAATTAACGAATTAAATTTTAAATAAATTAAAATTTTAAAAAACTGCATATGCATATCATGTAAAATATAAAGCTACACTAATACCAGCCTTTCTCTTATAAAAAAAAAAAAAAACTACTAATAACAGTTACTTCAACGTAATTATTTCTCCAAACGGCTTCAAAACCAAAAGAAAGGCAGTGATGAACATGCTTCAACAATGTTTCAATTTATTGTATTTTAAAAATATTTTTAAAAAATTAATTTTTAAAAAATAATATATTTTTAATATTTTCAAATCATTTTAATATGCTAATTTTATTTAAAAATAATATTTATATATTTTTCTAAATAAAAAATACTTTAAAAAATAACTACAGCCACGTTACAAAACACACAACTTCAATTAGCTTGAGAATTAGTTTAAATAATTTAAAAATATTAAAACATTTTAATTTTAATTTTAATAAAAAATTAATTTTTTAAATACTTTTAAAACATAAAAAATAAAAAACTATATTATTTTGTTTTTTCTGTTCAAGCAACATTGTATTGTTTTTTTTTTTATTCATCCATCATATCCAAGAACAACCTCGAATCAACTTTCACAGCTATGAAATAAATCAAAATGAGTGGTCAGTTTCCAATGGATTGGAGATTTGGAATTTTGATCGAACCCTAATTCTAAGTTGGATATCACGTGATTGTCACAAGCGGTCATATCCAAACATCGAACACTCAAATAAAACTGTTGTTTTTTTACAGAAACCAAGGAACACCACGAGGTCCCAATTTCCTCTTTCAACTCCCATGCCAACCATCCGATCAAACTCAATCCAACACTCCACATTCCTCCACGATTGTACCCTACGATCCTTTGATTCACCTAACTCGGCATGGCTCATATGCTTCCACGATTTCTATGTTTCAATCGACCGATTAAAATTAAATCTAATGGTTCTAAATAACTCCGTACTCTTTCTCTGCACAATTTGCTATATATTGCATTAATATCCCGCTCTTTTTTCTCTCTCTAAAAGCCATATATATATATTTTTTTTTTGTTTTTTTTTGTTTCTATCTGTTTTCGAAGGGAAAAAAAAATGCAAGAACAAACAACGAGTTCAATTCCTGCTAATTCTGTGCCGTCTAGCAGTGAGCGATCTTCAAGTTCTGCTCCTCAACTTGAAGTCAAAGAAGGTCTTATTTCCCTCTCTCCTTCTCTCTCTCTTTCTCATTTGTTAATATTTTTTTGACTTTAAAATGGAAATAAAGTAGTTTCTTTGTTAAATTTATTTAATTTTTCAATATTTGATTGTTTTTCTTCTTTATTTCGATTCAAGTTTCAGAATTCTTATCTGGGTTTTTTTAAATGAAAGCTTTTCTATTACAGGTAGAGCATACTTATACAAAGTTATAATATTTATTTATTTATTCATTTCTTCAGGATCTTCAATCATCTCAAAAGTTGCCAATCTGGGTTCTGTAGAATCGTTGATTTTTCTCAACTGGGTCTCCAATCTTACTTCAATTTTCTCATTAGAATCTCTTAAAATTCAAGCTTTATGTTTTCATATTACATTGTTTGTGTTTAGATTTTTGAATTTATTGTGTTTTTCTTTGTTGATTTTAGGTATGGAGAGTGATGAGGAAATTAGGAGAGTTCCAGAGATGAGCGGCGAGCCATCAGCCTCCGGTAGAGAGACCGGTTCAAACGCCGGTCCAGACCGGGTGCAGCCAGCAGGAGAGGGCCAAAGTCAGAGAAAGAGAGGAAGGAGCCCAGCTGACAAAGAAAACAAAAGGCTGAAGAGGTAATGTTCTGGTTTTACTCTTTTGCCCTTTCTAGCCGTTTAAAATGGAGCTCCGAGGCATTTATGACGGCGATTTGTCGATAATTAGTGTTTTTGGTGGGGGGTGTTATTGGGAATTCCTAGGTTGCTGAGGAATAGAGTGTCAGCACAGCAAGCAAGGGAGAGGAAGAAGGCTTACTTGACTGAGTTAGAAACAAGAGTTAAAGATTTGGAAAAGAAGAATTCTGAGCTTGAAGAGAGGCTTTCTACTTTGCAGAATGAGAATCAAATGCTTAGACATGTATGTTTACATAATCCCATCATTATATCGTTCTTGTCTTGTTCCAATATCTGTTCATCACTAGGGAAATACTAGGATATTATGAGTTCGAAATTGAAAAAAAAATAAAATCGTTAGGACATTATTACCTCGTGCTAGAAAGCAGATTTTGCTCATAAGGAACATACAGGGTTGATGATTGCCTAATTGTAGTTATAAATTATAAGTTTTTATGTGTATAGCCAATTGAGTGAGGCATATATGATAATAAGACACATGATCTTGACATCTTGTTTAAGAGAAGAAATTGAAAATGAAAGGCGTTGCATTAAGGATTAAGAAAGAAAAGAAAGTGTGGTCCGGAGGTAAAAGCTTGGGAGTATAGGGTTTGTTTTGGTTTTAGATTTGAGTATTGTAGTTGTTAATATTAATGGTTATTGAAGATTTATTTGGTTATTAATTTTAGGATTTATAGAGGTTAATAGAGATATGTGGAAACTGGTCTAAACATCTCAAATAAATTTAAAAAATAAAATAAAATTATGAAGTTATAATTATTAGGGTGTATGAGTTAGCCCCCATGAAGCATAGGACCAAAAATAAATATATAGATTCTCTCAAAGAGAATATCTCATCCCACTTGGTCTTGTCCAATTGCCATCAATATAGAGCATGTGCATCTGAATGTCATCTCTGTCAATTATTACCCATCTGGATTTTTCCCCCCTTTTCAACTACCCCTTTAAGAAGACCTAGTTGGTGATTGTTTATCGTGGTGGGCCAATTGTGAGGGGGGGTCCATTATTTCAGGCTGTAAAATTTCAATAGGGCTGGATTTGGCAACCAAACACCATATGAATTTTTCATAATGGCCCTGCTTTTGGAACCCATTTAATAGGTGCATGGCTTGTCTGTCCCGAGGACATCCAGAAACCATATTGCATGGTCTAGTCTCTTATGTGCAGGATTTGAAGCTAAATTCTTTCTAATTAACTTCACTGAAATCCATTTATGTCTTTTGTTCATTGGTCATAAAATGATTTGACACTGTTGCAGATATTGAAGAACACAACAGCGAGCAGGGGAGGAGGCAGCAGCGGTACTAATGCAGATGGGTCTTAGTGAGGGATGGTAATGTACAAGAGTGCTTAGCAGAGAGATACTTTCAGATAATATTATCCCCTAGTCGATTATCATGCATGGAAGTAGTGTGACTATAGGACAATGGCCATTTTGCCTCTTAGTTCTATTCCCCCCCTCAAAGCTTGCACCATGGCAAATTCATTAATTTTAGATCTGCAATGGGATGTGCGCACTGTGATGCAGATGGTGCATGCCCTGGATAACAAGGATGTATTCTTTCAGCAGTCTGACCATGTTTTTCATACGCTGAAAGTATATGAAAATGCCTTGGGGCAGCATGTGAATTTGGGAAAACAGAGTTTACATTTAGCCGAAATGAAACATTCGCTTTTATGGGGATGGTAATGTCAATATACGGCATCTGAAACTTCTAGTTTTTTAGGGTCAACCTTTTGATTTTACTCTAACGTATTCAACACTCTGTGTCAACATGCGGCATCCTCCCCTGTCGGGATGTGTCAAGATATATTCAGATGTGGCCGCCTTCAGACGTGGTAGTTTTGAACTGGGTGCTTTGGTGTGTAATAATTCGGGAGAATTCATGTGAGTTATTTGATGTAAAGGTCCTGAATATGAATGTTCTGGATGATCTTGGGGGAAGCTTCGGGTGCTCTGCAATGGTGTCACACCAGCTTTTGATATTGGATATATCAAGAGTTCAATCTCGTTCTTTGTTATATGGATTTGGTTTATTATTGTTTTATTAAAAAAAAAAACTTTTAATTATTATATTAAAAATAAGGATATGAATATTTTTTGAAGTGTTTTTTATTTAGAAATATTTTAAAATAATATTTATTTATTTTTTAAAATACAATCAATAAAAAAAAAATTAAAGAACTTTTGTTTGGGTCGGCGTCCAATTTGGGGGCTAGGTATGAAGGTAAGGGAAAACATTGTTCTTAGCACTGTGGAGTGAATATGTTTTTTTTTTAAAAAAATTGCCCTAGTATTGATATTAGAAAAACATTGGTATGGTTTATTTTTAAAAGATTTTAGTGAAAAAAATATTTTTTAAAAAAAATTAGGTTATTAATTTTCATGGAGTTAATATCTTAATTTACAAATTTAATAAGATAAACTTAATGCTTTAGTAAGATATTTTTTTTATATCAAACTTGATTATAATATCATTTATTATTTTTCATCGTATAGTTAAAAACATAATATTAGAAAAAAATATTATTAAATATTAGAAATTTCATAGGTCTCTTGATAGGTTTGACAAGTTTAATTTTTCTAAAAAAAATTAAATTTTAGATATTAGGTTTATCAATTATTGAGTTTCATAATTTGTTTTATTTTATTTTTTATAAGGTTGTCATAATCTTAAAAAAAAATTAGTATTGGTTTGGCGCTTAATTTTACAATTGTTTATTTTTGTTATTATATAGCTAAATAAATAGCAGTTTGGAAAAAAAGAAAAAAAAATAAAGTTATTAATCTTAATGAAGTCCATTATTTAGTTAAAAAGTTTGATTTGTTGATTTAGGTTACTTGATTTACGGGTTTAATATGTTTACCTACCAAACTTGATAAGTTTTTTTATTTAGTTCTTGGTCTCTAATTTTTCTAGTTGTTTTTTTTCCTTGTTTCATTTTTTTTTAATATTAGATTTATTGAGAAATAAAATTCATGGTTTATTTTTTTTTATTTTCTATAAGGTTACACAATCTCAAATAAATTTCTTTTTTAGGGTTGATATTTGATTTTACAAGCATCTAATTTTATCATAAAATTTAAAAATAAATAATTTATAAAAACAACGAAGTTACTAAACTCATTGAAATCCATGACCTAAGTCGTAGGATGACTAAGGTAGATCCGTGACATCATCTCAATATTTAAAAAATAATTTGTCATCTTAAAGTTTTTTTAAAAGTTATCTGATGTTTTTACTGATTATCCAAATTGTCTTCAAACCTATTAAATAGAATGTTTCACTTTGGTTTAACATACAGTTTAATTCAAAATTTGAGCTAAACAAGGAGTTGAGTTGATAAGTTTCAAGATCGAATCATTTGAATGGATTTAATGATACTGTTAAAAAAATCTCTATACTTTTAACATTTTTTTAAAGTTTAAAAAAAGAAAGTCCAACCTACAGCAAAAAAAAACGAGCGAATGTAATAGTATCTTTCTATGATATGTTTTTTTACTCTACCATATATTTGTGATTTCTTAAATTTTAAAAATAAGAAGATATTTAATTGTGAATACCTTTACTTGTTTTTATAATCACATGTACACTTGTCATACTTTGAGAGAGTAGAAAGAAAAGTTTGCTAAAAATTTATTGTCACTCTATCATAAAACATCGTTTCACTACCAAACAAAGCTCATCAAAATGGTTTTAACATTATTGTGAAGGAGCAAACAATGACATTCAAAGAGACCATACGTGTTGTCAAAACAATGACTCAGAAAGTAAACTAAACACAATATCATTAAATAAATATCTCATACTTATATTTAATCAATCAATCTAATTTATCTGTGAAAAATTTAAACCTGAATTTAGTAAAAAATCTTATAGAAAGAAAAAAAATCAAGCTCAATCTTCAATTGAATAGATATTAAATGATAAAATTGAAAATACATGAGTCTAAAAACAAAAAGAGGGGGATGAACCTCCTAAATATATGCTAATATTTAAAACTTGCACTTGTAAAATTCTAAACTTTGGCTAAATAAGGAAGCTCAATTTTGAAAAAATTCAATGTTGAAGGATGAGATAAAAAATAATAATTTTAAAAAATAGCCAAAGAAAATTAAACAAACAATAACAAAAAAAAACCTGAATTAAGCCAAGTTATTTTTCTAAATTAGTGAGCAATTTTATAGTTTTTAAACTCAATTTGGTGGTCGACCTATAGCAAGTACTGGATTAACTTGGGTCAATTATTGTTTTTTGTTACTTTGTAAAAGAATAAAAATGGTACTATTTTTTTTTGAAAAAAAGTAAAAAAGTTAATGGCCTTTCACTAGATTTTTTTCAAGGTGACCAGGTCACAAATTAATTTGAATTGTTGATGGGGTTATACTGGGTTATTCCACTCACTATTTTTTTGTAAGACTTGACCCTACCTATATTCCACTCACTATTTTTTGTAAGACTTGACCCTACCTATACCCTGGGTTACCTAGGTTACAATTCTACAATTTTATAAGCGAATTGGGTTTTAAAATAATGAAAAATGATTGAAAAGTCAAATAAATAAAAACAACATAGTTCAATCTTCAATTGAATAAATACTGAATGATAAAAATAAAAAAATACAAATTAAAAAAATACTAAGCAAACTGAAATAGATCTCCTAAACATGGGTTAATCTTTAAGACTAGAAATCCATGAAATCCTAGATTCGGGCTCCATAAAAAATCTCAATTCCTAACTAGTTAACATTAAATGATGAAATAAATAAATAAATAAATAATTTAAAAAATTTCTTAAAGTAAAACATGACAATAAAAAGAATAAATATCAAACCTAATGGGAAAATAAAACATAAAGAGGGTAAGATTGTAAAAAAAAATTAATTTAAAAAATAGTAATAAAAAGAATAATGACTAATTTTGAAATATAAAAAAAAATTAAAGGGAGTGACATTGAAAAAAAAAATTATAATTTTATAAATTATACAAAATAAAAAAAATGATAATAAAAAGAACAAAGATCAGTTCCAAAGAAAAAACAAACTCAAGGGCTATTTCATGATTTTTAAATATTAAGTGTGAAAATTAAAGAGGATAGGAAAAAAAAACAAAAAGTATTAAACTAAAGCTCTTTTGACCATGCATGTCATGACATCATAAAAAGGCATCCAAGATGATTCACACACCTTTATGGAATGTGACATTTGGTTACCGAATAACGCTAAATGTGCATTTCCTTGCTACATAATTTTTTTTTTAATAATAATGATTATTAAAATGTAAAAATACCTCTAAGTCAACTTCATAATAATAATAAAAAAAAATTATGAAGAAATAATGGAAAAGCTCCTCAAATATAGTTTAGTAGATTTTACTTTTAAAGATAATTAAGTTATTTTATTGTGATAAAAAATTGAAATAACTTAAAAGCTGTTGGTGCAAGTTTTTTTTTTTATTTCAAGGTAATTAAGTTGATTTATTGTAAAAAAGAGAGTAAAAAGACTAATTTGTACTTGTATAATTTGAAAATTCACAATTATATTATAAAAAAATCTAATTATCTCTAAAAAAAATATAGTTTAAAGGTTTTATTATTAAAAAAAACAAATTATTTTATATTTAAAAACAGATGTGCACTTTTTCGATTTCTTCATCATTATATTTCTAAACAAAAAATGTATGTATTGAACACTTATTTTTTGTTGGCATATTAAGGAGTAAAACAAAATTGTTAATATCTAATATTGTGATTTATAATTACTTGTTTCTTGATATGACTACCATTTTTATGTGAAATTATTTTATATTAAAAAAAACTAAATAAGAAGGGATTTTACTATACATTTCCTCGCAATTGGAATAATACTTTCTTTTCTTTTTTTTTAATCTATTTTTTTATAATTTTAATTTTATTATATAACATTAAGTTTTTTAAAGATTTTTTTATAAGGTAATTATAGTTTTTTTGAGTTCAACATAGGATTGACGAGTTAACTTGATTGACTCAAGTTTTTTACCTTTTTTCTAATTGATTTTATTTTTTAATTTTATTTTTTAATATTGTGTTGATTTAGAATTATACTTCATGTTTTATTTTGATTTATATTTTATGAGGTTATCTTTGTCTTGTGACTTGGGTTATGGACTTGATGAGTAACCTTGGTTAATTAAAGTTGTTTTTTATGTTCTTTTTTAACTGATTTCTCAATTTCGTTTCTATTCCTCAACATTAAGTTTAAGGGGAATTAAACTTAATAATTATTTTAAATTTATTTTTTATAATTTTGTCTCGATCTCAGGACCTTAACTATGAGTTTGACAAGTTAATTCGATTGGCTTGAGTTTTTTTTTGTTTTCTAATTGACTTTTTTTTTATCAATTTCATCATTTAATATTGAGTTTATTGAGAATTATACTTTGTGTTTTATTTTGGATTACTTTTTATGAGGTTATTTCCATCTCATCACTTAGATTATGAGTTTGACAAGTTAATCATGTTAACATAAGTTTTTTTTGTCATTTTTAATCAATTTTTTTCTCAATTTGTTTTTTAAATACTAGGTTGAATGGGAGTTAATCTTCATAAATTATTTTAATTTATTTTTTATTGGGTTATCCCGATCTTATAACCCAAGTCATGGATTTGATAGGTTAACTCATGTAAGTTTTTAGGGTTCCTTTTTTAATCATTTATTTATTTATTTTTATCTTTCAAAATTAGGTTGATTAAGAATTGAAATTTATAATTTGTTTCATTTTGCTTTCTATTAAGTCATCTTGGTCTGATGACCCGGGTAGCGAGTTTGAAATGTTAACTTAGGTTGAATTAGGTCATCTTTTTTTATTTTTTTTTTAATTGATTCATTTTTATTTTTTTCATTCAAAATTAAATTTATTAGAAATTGATATTCATAATTTATTTTTATAACTTGACGTGTAGATTGACAAATTAACTATGATTGACTTAAATCGATTTAATATATTTTTGTCTCAATTCTTTTTTTTTAATATCATTTTAAATATTTATTTTGAATCAAACTATATTTTTAATGACCATCTAGATTGTTCTT